CAGCCCTGTGCCTGTGCAGAGACCAGTCCCGTGGCCACAGCGCCGAGCTGAGAGGGAGAAGCGCCCGGAGCAGTTCCCACCTGGATCTCTGTGCCTCCAGTGCCACACCAAAGAGCAGGAATTCAGCTCCTTTTCCTCTGTCCCTGTCCCCTCGTAGGCTTTGCAGGCTTTTGCTGTGTGTTTGTGCTTCTCCACCTCTGGGTTTAGCCCATGCCTCAGCCTGAGTGCTGCCTTAGGAGCACAGTCTCCCCTCGCCTGCAGCCATTCCAAGGGGAACAAGATGAGCTTTTGTAATGAACCCACCTTAGTTCCTGAAGGATTGAGTTTGCCAGCACTAAGCCTTGACTACTGGTTGAGAACAGCGTGTTTAGAAAACAGTGACTTGCTGTTCACAATTTTAGCAATCAGCTGGCTCAAGAACAGGCAGGTCCGTGTCTCCCAGTCAGTGTGAAGGCATGCAACGTAAACTCTGCTGGCTGAACACATAGTATAAATAGAGTTATTTTCCTTTCTTTAGGGAATGTATCGTTCTCAATCCAGTTTTAGGATTACACTCTAATCTCAGTCTCTGAGTAGTCTGTGCCCACATATCTGGGATTAGAATTTAGCCCCACAGTCTCTCCAATTGCACCTTACTCCAATTTCATGCTCCTGTATGACATAATGCTAACATAACTGTTTTTTCCTTTCCAAAAGTTGTTATTTTGCTGATTGTGGATTCTGGAGCAATTACAAACTCTAGTTTCATGACCCTCAGCATAGATTCAGAGCAAGAACTCTTGATCCAGTAACTAATAACATTAAGACTATTAATAATATTAGAATATTTATTTTTTAAAACAGTACCTGATTTCTCAAGCAGTCAGATGAGCTTTTTCTAAAAGGGAAGCCAATGGAAATGCAAATGAGATTATGTACATCTTCATTCATATGTTTCCCTCATAAGCATGAATACATGTTCATATTGTGTGTTTGACTGATTTACCTGAGCATTTTAAACAATGCTCAGCTTCTTCCAGTCTGTGGAGACACTGCTGTAGTTCACTAAACATGGACTTTAAAGAATGTTAATTCCATGTGTTTGATGTAAATAAAAGCAGTATTTGTAAATGAGATCTCAGTGCATTTAACTAAAAAAACAAGTCTTCCAACCAATCTATATTATATATGACTAAACCATGTTTTGTCAAAGTAATTGATAACATCAACACATAGACTGCTATAGACATTTTGAAACTGTTGCATGACTAGATTTGAAAATGCTTCTGGTTCATGAAGTTCGTGTCTTGCCACTTCTCATCTAATAAATTGAGACAGAATTAGTCCTGGGTGAGTGGTTCTGCCTGCTGCCAAGAAGGGTTTGCTAAGGGTAAGACTCTAAAGGCAGAGATTAAGTTGTCTTCATCCCTGTAATGTGCTGTACAGCCAGGATTTGTGCAATAGGATCAGAGCAGAGCCATATATGAATCTAACAGTGGACAGCTGGTGTGTATGAATTTATATGAACCCTGATGCCAGATTTTGAGCTCCTCTCAAATCCCAGCTAATAAATGTATCAGAAGTGTACTTTCCCTGTTCCCTCACAGATCCTCCTCAGCTGGTGTGGTTTCTAATATGTGAGTTGTTATGAAAATAGTATGAACCTAAACTACCCTAAATTTAACCTGCAAGTCAGAACCCCAGCTAAGTAACTGAAAAAGTGTTTTTTTCCAAATGGAATAACATGGATTAGTTAGGTTCAGTACTTCCTCCTGACACAGAGTTACATACAAATCTTTATATTAGGTTATTAAGCTATTTATCCCATTTGATCATTTCAATACTTGGCTAACAAGAAATTCAGGGAAATAAATAAGTAATTTAGTACAGATAACACATACAAAACATGTCCTTTAAAGTAAGTTTGAACCTTATGAATATTTTGCCATTCAACTTGCAGAAAGAGATGAGAATTCTTGTGGAAATAACATCTCAACTTTATATCACAAATACCACAGTTATTTTTATGCATCTGAGAAGAAATTCAAGATAAGTTAGATAGGATTGATTGGCAATTAATAAAAAAACCAGAATTATTTAATGAAGCAACTCCAGTGAAAAACCTCACTAAGGAATCAAACCTTCCTTTTGGCCTTATGGTGATTCAAAAACTGGGTCAGTGGAAACAGTAAGCTACAGCTTTAGTGGAAAAAGATACCAAAGAACTTTTAAATCATATTATTATATGATACATGGAATATGTCCACTATATCTTTTCCACGTGAAACCAAAAGACCACATTGTCTACCTTTGCAAGGATAAGTTCTTTATCTGATGCACATTGTCTGAAATGGTGGTCTGTGAATCTTGGTCATCTGGTGGATAATATCAGTAAATATGGATCACTTTTCTGTGGATGCTGCTGTAATCAATACCCTACATTCTGGGAAAATGCCAACATTTAAACGAAAACTTCATATTTAAATAAAAGTTTTAAAGAAAGTTCTTACATAGTTTCTGCTTCATCTCCTAAAGGAAGCAGTGTGAGACTGCCTGTCAACAGCCTTCACATCCAACACAAAATCCAGACTTATTTTGGGAACAACAGACGACCCAGAGAACACCAGTGATACTGGTGCTACTGGTTTCTAACCGCTTACTGCTGCTTGCTTTTGAATGGATGCCTGTCAGAACAGGCAGGGTACATGGGACCCACAGGAGGGATTTGAGCCAGAACAGATGGCTCTCTTCCCACCAGGTTTTCCATGATTCTACAATTTGAAGTTGCATCATATAATTTTAGTCACCGGTGTGATTTTAGGGGGAAGTGTAGAAGTTCTAGGAAGGCCTGATGAAGAAAGTGTCTTTTACTTGTGTGCCTTTTTCCCACACAGGGACATTTCTCCAGGAAAAAAAAGCACATTCACAACTTTGATTTAAACAGGAGACTGACACATTCTAGCAGTTCCTAAAATGCAAAAGCAGCACAATGTGTCAGTCATCTGAGACACAAACATGTCAGTATTAAAATTCGCTATTAATTTTATTTTTTCCCTGATTTACTAGAATAAAAAGGGGTTGAAACCTCCTGGGTCTTTTTTCCATTATGCTCTCTGAACCTCAGATGGTTTCTTTGCACCTTCACAGGGTCACAGAACAGTTTGGAATGGAAGGGACCTTTAAAGCCATCTAGTCCAAGGCCCCTGCAATAAGCACTGACATCTTCAGGCAGACCAGGTTTCTCCAGAAAAAAAGAGCCAGATAAAGGCCAAAGGCCAGGCTGTAAGAAGGGCAGCATGAAGTTTAACATTTCAGTTTGTTTTGCAGAGTGCTCAATACAGAGTCTCTATCCAAGAAATAAAAACACCTAAATGGCTTACTGAACAATATGGTATGGCAAATACCATCATCCCAGTTACCACCTATTTTTTGAGCTGTTGAAAAGTTTAGTCCAGCACTAAATCGCTTTAGTACTGAGCTTTAAAGTGCTTTAGCAGCTCAGAAGCACTTTGGCAGCTCAAATGCTCTTCATGAGGCACCCAGCATCCTAAATCACTTTAAGTCTAAAGTATCCTAAAAAAAAAGGCAAATGGAAACATGTTCAGATACAAATGTCAAGAACAAAGGCCGTGGTGCTGGTCTGGGATTTGACAGACTTGTCTGTTGCCATGAAGACCCAAATCTTGGCCAACACAGAACCCAACATCTACTCTTACAAATGTAAAGCACTTGTTATTTGAGGAAACACCAGTGGTATGGTCTAAATTCAGCCTCTAGTTTCAGTATAAATGGCTGAAATTACTCACATGTTTACCCTTTTGGTAAACTCATTTTGAGACCAAATATTTCCCTCTTATCAAAGAAATGGTAAGTTCCTTAGGCACGTGAATTAGATTGATATCTATCATTTAAATTATTTTAAACTCATCAATAGGTTAAAGGCAATAAAAGAAATAATAATAATAAATCTAATTTATAAATGGCTTGGGTAACAAAAGAGGACTTTCCTCTAATCTCATTTTTGGATAAGGAACAGTGTTCCTGTCTTTGCATTTCCCTCACTGTTACCTATACCAAATGCTGGCTGAACTCCTGGAGCTGTAACTCTCTATCAGCAGGATGAGAACACTTCAGCATTACATCTTCCTTCTTCCAGAAGACAGACAGAATTCATTTCATCAGAGCTAAATGGGGATGGAAATCCAACTCCTTATTTTAAAAAATAATTTTAAATTATTTTTAAATTCTAATCATTTGCTGTGCAAGTCTAGTGTGACATGAATTTACAGATGCTCCTGACGCAGCCTTCAGAGCCAGTCTGCTCCCTTTGCCAACTCCTCAACTCAAAGCATTCCATACAGGATAGCTTTTTAATATCCAGGCTCTGGGTTAGAGGCCTTGCTTCCTTTACAATTATTAATTATGTATATTTTAATTACATTTAATAATTTATCATTAATCTGAGTCTTAGTGGTTATATCACTGTTTTCATCACTACAAAACACATTCTTTTACCTTTTTTACTTCAATTTAGAAACCTTATGGGACTGATGTAATTTGGAACAGATAATTTCTACAATTTCTTTCCATCTGCTTCACTTAGTTTACAGTAGACAGGGCTCCTAACCATTACAATTCTGAAATTAAATAAAAGACACCTGCCTTTCTAAGTATGAGGACATCACTGCTCTCAGACACACCAGGGCTGAAGGCAAAGGCTTGGGCTTAATTACCTCCTTTTGATCAGGTGTTATTTTCCAGCACCCTGATTTTCCTCGCATTGTAGGATCCAACAACTCAGTGTAAGCAAGGGCAATATTTGCATTGTCCTGAAAGCTGGAAGTTTCTACATGGAAAACATTACAACCCAAGATCGCGGAAGGGTCCAGCTGTGACCTGCTTAGCTGGAAAACAACCTGCATAATCTTCTCTGTTTCTCATTGCTGAATGTCTTATTCCTCTCTTTGGTGCTGCTGCTTCATTTCTTTACAGCAGCAGAGTTGTTGCTGTCTCCCTGCAGCATGACTCCCCGGGAGCACATGAGGAAGATGTCCATCCTGGGGGAGCAGGGATCACTGGAGGAAAAGCACCTGTACCGGCTGGCTGGCAGCATGGCAGCAGGAGGTGAGCAGTAAGGAACCCCACTGAACATGTGGTTACAGCACTGCTGGCATCTACAACCTACAAGAAACAGCCAGCAGTAGGTTTGATGTCTTTAAAAAGGTTATTTCAAATTTATCCTAGGAGTAACTGAAAAAATACTTTGTTTAAGGTAATTAAAAATTAACACAGAGGGCTCATGGAATTCAGTATTTGATTTAGAGATGCTAAGCATCTGAAAGAAAGTGAATGGCACACAAGAAGTCAGAACAAAAGCCATAGCTGGATATGATGATGTTCTGGTTCAGCATTGTGGGCTTTTTACAGTGCAGGTTCCACGTAGTATGATTTTTCTCAAAATGAACCTGTATTAGAAATGCAAACCCTCTCAAGCAGAGAACTTAACATTCATGGCTATCTTCTGTTTCACAGTATTATGTAAATTATTATTCATTGTAATTTGTCCTTTGATACACTTGACTGAGCACATCCTATTTATTTTTACTGCAGTTTGATTGAATAAATCTACATTATTTAAACGATGTAGTTCAGGTGTCAGTGAAAACATGTTTTCAGTTGCTGCTATTAAAAAAAAAAAAAAAGTGTGAATTGCACTAGAGGAAACAAAACAAAAGATTTTTTTTCTGGTAAGGTTATACCACAGTCAGAATCACTTCCTAACTTATCTTGAGTGCAGAACTGTGTGTGCCTTGCAGAGCTGCGGCAGCGGCAGGAGATGCTGATGAGGGACCAGCTGATGGCAGTAAACCCGCAGCTGATGGGGCCGGGCCAGCAGAGGATGCAGGCGATCCCCGCCCAGTTTGAGCCGCGACTGGTGGACAGGTACCGGGCAGCAATTTCTGTGCCAGCGCTGCAGTTAATCTCTGTGTGTGCTGCCCCTGAGGTTGTAAAGACCTTTGGTTATTCTTAACTAAACAAAATCCTTTGCATATCTGAATGTTTTCCTCTCAGAGATCTGCTTCCTTCAACTGAAATGATGGCCTCAGCTGACCCCAGACAAATCCACATGGCATCCCACCTGGCACCCACGGTCCCACAGCATCCCAACATGCCAAACCTGTTGTCCAACCGTGTCTACCCAGGCCCAGGTAACAAAGCACCCTCTGCGTCCTGAAAAGTGGGATAATGCTGCTAGTTTTCCATAGATTTATTGGTAGTGTCAATAAAAGTTTTGTTTATTTTATTTAGAAAAACAGTCTCACTAAAAGGAGGCATCCTGTGCCAGTTTAGGTCCATTTTATCCTTTGTTCAATACAGTTCTCAGTCTTTTGCATGTTTTTATTCCCTCCTTTTCTTTTTGTATTTTCCATGAATTTTCACAAACAAAAGGCTACAGCTGAAAAAATAGCTCCTCATCAACACTTTTACACTACATTTTACTCTTGCTCTTATATAAGTATTGGCTGCTTTATACAGATCATATGTTCTAATGATAATACCACATGCCACTTAATTCATGTAGGGCAAATACAAGTCCTCTTTAATAAAGACTCAAAATTAGAGGGCACAGATCCAAGGGAAAGGCTGGATATCACAACTATGGCATTCATGTCATGCTGCACAAAAATTTACATATTACTTTATACAAAGTGAACTTATGAGTTTTTCTTTGAGATGAGTGAATGTATTTTCAATGTCACATCAATACACCAAGAAAAATTTCTGATTTCAGCTGCTTTCCCAGCCTTAACATGGATCTCAAGAGGAAATGTAATTTAAAATAACACAGCCTCTGCTGAAAGCAGTCTTGAAGGAGCAGGTTTGCTCTGCTCAACTGTGGGCTATTATTTTCTGAGCAGTTATTTGTACTTCAAAGGCATACGTCACCAAATAAAACCACCCTTTGTGGCTAATGGCAGGTATTCCTAACTACAGATCTGATCCTGAAAACACCTGATGAAGGACTTTATGTTCTTTCTACATATTGCCACCAGAACAATGACAATAAATAGGATTTAACTTGAAATCCTATCACCTTCTTCGAGAAGCCCACAGTTGAAGACTTACAAAGCTTTTTAAAGTGTCTCTGCATTGCTTTGGGGGCTGTGCATTTGCATGAGGAAACCAGTGAATTTTAAAGATTTTTTTTTATTCTCCTTCCCTCTAAGGATACAGTTTTTTGCAACCAGAATCCATGGAAGCTGTGGCCAGAAGACAAGAACTGGTTCAAAAGCAAAATATTGCCAGGTAATCAATAGCAAGCTTTGTTCTGAGGTGCATGCCAGGATTAAAGCAGCAAAGTGACCATGATTGTTTTACAAGTCACCCAAAGATGCAGAGGGCCCTTTAGTATCAGTTAAGGCTTGAACCTCCTTTCTGCTTGCCCTATTTTGCCTTTTTTTCTTAAAATGATGTAACAAAAATAAACAAACTCCTTAGCTTGGTTAAGGAAAAGAACAAGTTAGAGCCACAGCCCTTGAACTGTGAATCCAAACACCCTGAAGTTACAAAAGTTCAGAAACAAATTCAAACTTTGCAGCTGTGTGCTATCACACACAATACTTTAGGCCTGTAGCAGGGCCCTTGGGATGAGCAGCTGTGTCTCCACCCTACCAGGGTGGGCAGCTTTCCTAGTTTGACCAAAGAGTTGGAATAGCAGAGTAATGTAGAAAGTCCAGTTATTTGTACCAGTCTCAGTGTAGTCAGTAGCTGGTCAAGAGACCACCAGTGCCCTTCCTCATGGCCACACCATTTCCACAGAGGAACTCTAACCTCAACCACTCCTGGACTGGCTGCACTACTCAGTGGGAGTGTCCCTCACACAATGAGACTAAGAGCAAAGAGCAGCCAAGTTCCATACATTCATTGGAAAATAGTTATGAGGGAAGTGTTTTGAGCTCTTAAGTATGCAAAGCTTAATTACTGAACTCCTCCAAGCACAAGATTTGCATCAGCAATGCATTGCCTATAGCTCTTGCCACATGGCAAAAACCCTGAGAAAAACAAGTAGTAGAAAAATTAGCAGCAAACATGGCCATCTCATACATGCACAGCCACATCAGAGCTGGTGCTACCTGTTCAGGCTCTTCCCTCAGCCCACCAAACAACAAAACTCCAACATGAAACAGCTCACCTACACCTTAAAAACCTTTTACCCCACTTTTTTGCCACCCTGACAATTTCCACCCTGTTCACACAGCTTTCTGCAGCACAGATCACCTTTAGGGCTGCACTTGCTCCTTTCAGCTGTTCCAGAAATCAGGTATTGACAATCTCCTGTCCTTGCTGCTGCTGTGCTGCTGAGCACCTGGATTCAAATCCTTGTTCTCCAAGGGACTCTGCCTCATCCCAAAGCTCTGTTTGCTGGTCCTGACAGGAACAGACTATCTCAGGTGGAGGAGGAGGAATGTAATGCTTTCTGCTGTTTATTGCCACCTCAAGAGCTGGGTGGGAGTAATGACAATCAGGCAAAGCATACAAGGACACAGTACACAGACAAAACACTTCCTTTGTATCTCTGAAAGCAGAAAATCAGTAAGTTGGAGGTTGTTTCAAAGATTAAAAGAAGGCAGAGAAAAAGCCCCTGAATGGTGTGATCAAATAATTCCTCCTCATACCAAAAATCTGTATACATGGTTTTTGCCCAAACTGTTGTCCTGAAAATTTTACACTCTCCTGAAGATCAGACTCTCTGTGACCTGTTATAATCATTGCAGTGTTAAGAAAGCTATCTTGATGCACTTTAAAGTGCTTTACTTCACAGGCTCTTTTCCAAAGATGCAGAAATCCCACTGCAAGCTCCTCAAAGCTCCTTTAGGAGCTCTACCTTTCTGTTTGATCACTGGCATGGCTCCAGAGAAAGCTGATGTAAAGGTTGGTACAGCAGAGACAAATACTACTATTACAAATACAATACAAATACTTGTATTATCTTGTATCCCACTGACAAGCCCTCCCATCCACTATGACAGGAGCAGGAAGCTGGCACAGACTCTGGAGCATTCATCCAGAAGGAAGGAGATCAGTTGAACACTTCCTACTAGAATCTCACCCTTTCACACCCTCAGAATCATGCTCAGGTGCCAGGCACTGTGGAGGGTTACTCAAGAGACTTAGCATTAGCTTACTCTGAATAGATGCACAGATTCCATAGATAATACCATTCTTGCTCTTTATCATTTACAATATCACTGGAATTTTGCAGATTTTGGTACAAATTTCTGAGTGATACTATAGATAAATCATTCTCTTTAGTCTTCAACCTTTATGACTCTGGAGACTACTTTCCAAATGTGAATATAATCCTCATGTCTGGATTGCCAATATGCAAATAACACCTTTTTGTCTGAAGTATTTTCCAGAGCCATCATATGGAAGATATGTTTTGCCTTTCTTTTAGCTTACTCTCTGTATCTGAGAGCACATTACATACAGCCAGGTTTGCCATTCCATCTGCAGTTTGTACCCTCTCACACACAGCAATGCAAGGGAGAGACAAAACAAGCAGTGCTCTTGCCTATTCATTAATCCGAGTTTTATTCTGCTGCTGAAAAAAAAAAAAAAATAAAAGGTGATGAAGGAACCAAGCTGCCCTAACTGCTCATGCTCTGTGTGTCCCTTAGAATGGAAATGGAGATGAGTGCTATTTTTCAGCAAAAGGAAATGGAGAAAGCCCATCGGAAAGGACTCCTGGGCCTGGAAGCCCCTTTCCTTTACCACGGGATGCCAGCGAGTCCCATTGCTTTCCGTGGCAGGCACAGACTCCCTGAAGGGCACCTTGCCAACGACCTGTATGTCCATCGTACCACCCTGGATGAGATCCATGGCAACACCGTGCTCATGGCAAGCAGCCCATACCCACCAGTCAGCACCCTGCAAAGGGAGAGGGGGCGCCGCCCAGGGAGAAGAGCTGGAAATCACAAAACTGCCGAGGGCAGCGCCAACGGCACGAAGAGCCAGGCAGATGACAAATCCACCGACTCTGCCTCAGCTGCAGTGGATGATGAGAAAGAAGACAAGAAGGAAGTAGAGGTGGAGACGCCAAACAAACACGAGCAGAGCAAAAACCGGACTGAGCCAGCAGTAGTTGCCAAGAACTGCAAAGAGTTTGAACAAGGCTTGAGAAAAAACTGTGCTACTCATGAAATTCCTACTGAAACCACCAGCTGCAGCAACACAAATGGGAAGGAAGCCAACAGTTCCTGTGCTGCTTTTGATGACAAGTACCTGTACCCTTCTGCAATCCCATTCTCAGCGTTACCATATGGATTTCCAGTGCCCAACAACCCATTGCTACCTTCAGGTTTGTCAGATCTCCAGATTGGAGTGGTATGTTGATATAATCTGGGTTTATTGATTTGGTCTCTCAATTCTTCCCTCTGTTTAAGTGAATTTTTGGTATGGTAGAGTCATTACAACTAAAAGTAGAATTCTTATGCTGCAAAGAGTAATATCTGTATTCAGTTCTTGTTTTAAAAAGGAGTTTAAACTAAAATAAACAAAATTGCTGAATGAAGTTGTGAGTTAGCCTCTCTCTTCTGCCCACAACTTTTCTATATGTCCTAACTCACAGTAGGCAGTATGGACTAGCAAAGGCTTGGATCTGTTCTACTGAAATATTAGTCAAATTAAAATAACAGTAAAGTCTAAAGTAGAAAAAGCACTGGATAATGCACTCATTAGAGGAAGTCCTGCTCCTGCAGCATGATTTGTATGTGTAGTGACTGGTAGGTACAGTGCCAACAGGAAACAAAAGAAGCCACCAAAAAAAACCCTTCAGAACCAGGTTCTGCTCATTACCTGGTGATTTTGTCTAGGACTCCTCTATCTGCAAGTGACTACAACCTGCTCTTAATGTATTTGGTTCTGAAAAGGTGTAAAAATTCTCATGATAGGAATCATTTCCTCTTGTTTTGCCAGCAAAATTCTACCAAGATAACATCTGTGTTTCCTCCTCAAAGGAGCTCATGGCCTGATCCTGAATGGAGAAGACATTTCTTCTGTTGAAGACATTCGCAAGTGGACAGTTGATGATGTGCACAACTTCATTGTCAACCTCCCAGGCTGCTCAGATTATGCCCAGGTGATCATAAACATTCATCACATTTTCAGGTCTTTAGGACCATGTAGATTTAAATGTCAGCCAGCAAATGTAAATGTGGGAGGGTAGTGGATTGTCCCAAAATTACAAGTACAATAGTAGTTTTCTTTGTGCAGTTAGGAGAGAAATACAAAGATAAATCAGTCAAATTATTATTTCTTCTTTTTATGCCTTTGTTTATGCCTCAGGGTTAAGTATGAAAAATAACAACCAAAGTCTATTTTAGCACACTATGATGTGTTTTATCACTTCATCAGATATTTAAAGACCATGCTATTGATGGAGAAACCCTTCCACTGCTAACAGAGGAGCATCTCCTGGATACAATGGGATTAAAACTTGGACCAGCATTAAAAATTCGCTCTCAGGTATGATCATTAAATGTATGACAAGATGGTGAGTCACAGAGACACAAAATTGTCAGAAAATGTCAGGAGGGAATTTTTCCAAACTAAAGCATTTTCGTTTCCACTGGTAAGGTGGGAGAATATGGGAGAATATGGGAGAAAATAAATTACTCCAGCAAAGTTTTCATTTGCCTCCCTGTATGTTACCATGGCATACAGGGAGACAGTAAGGAATATGACCATACATTTTTCAGGAACAGATTGTCCCTCTCTGCAGTTTTCTGCCCTTAATTTCATCCACTAATATCAACTCTCTCTGTGTTTCTGTTGTCGCTGGTTCTTTTCCTTTTCTTTAACCCCTTGTACTCTCTCAATCTTCTCTATTTCCAACCACCTGCCCCACTCCTGACTGGCAGTTTGCCTTCCCTCTGTCCCTGGGTGCTGTCAGGCCCAACAGTCCTAAGTTGGGTATTGACAAGCTCCTTCTACAACCTGGGCCTAGAAAAATATGAGAGTGAAAACTGAATATATTTTTTTACGAGAATTTGATAATCCTTTGAGATGCCTGGGATGTCCCTGGTGGTGCTGCACCAGCGTCACGTTTGATGTTTAATGGCTTTAACAGCAAGAAGTAATTACTGCAATTTTGCCTTTGTCTTTGAAGGTGTCCCGACGTCTGGGCAATGTGTTCTACATGATGAATGTCCCTCTGCCCGTGCCCCTGCCTCCTGCTCCAGGGAAACCCTCAGAGCAGCCCTCTGACATGGCCTCCCCTCTGCACTGCAACAGCAGCGGTGACACCCTGGACAGTCCCTGCTCCCAGGACCCAGAAACCTCCCAGGCAGTGGAACAGATGGTTTCAGAAAGCAGGGAAAATCCATGTGACACAGCTGGATCCCAGGCCGACTTCCAGATGATTGCTTTCCAGAAAAGTTGAGCTAAATCCAGGAAATAGCGTGTTTTTAATAATCCAGGAACCCCTAGTTACAAAGTGTTTGAGAAGAAGCTACAGTCTGAAACCATTGTAAGGCTAGGCCTGAAGGAAATAAATTGCCAATGCAGCGTGAGGAAGTGTTATACCTGAAAGACATTCAGAAATGCAGCTACAGGTTAGTTCAATTACTTTCAAGTGCAATTCATTGAAAAGAATACCAATAGAGTTAACAGGTAAATTTAATTTTCATTGCAGTCCAGAGTGATCACTGAAAGCTGCCAGATACTCAGTGTGCACTGTATGTCTTACAGTGTGTTCCAGTGAGCAGCTGAGAAACTATATGGAAAGGGCACAGCTTCCAAAAATAGCTGACTTCTGCTTCTGTTGAACAGAATTTATACAGAACATTCATATGGAATTCATTGGGACAGTATGGAACTGCCTACAGAATATAGAGAAATATACCCCAGACTCAGCGATTTGAGTTAATTCATTGCTATTCCAGAACTAAACCCTTCTAAGTGCCTGGCAAGGGTATACAGTTTGTAAAGAGACACAGATTGAACATGAAAATACCGTGTGTGGCATCAATTTTAATTATCCCAAGGCATTCTTATCACCAGGGCTGGAATTTGCTTTTCGTGACTGCAAGAGTCACGAAAATGAGATGAGTCACCAGCCTCTGCCACTAAGGCCAGTCACTGGGACAGTGACATTCCCTGCAGGAAAGCCACCTGGTTCCTGCCAGCCTCTGCCAGAACACCCTTCCCATCAGCTCACCAGGCCAAGCCATAGAAAGCCCTTCCCTCAGCAGCACATTCAGCGTTCTTCACTGGAAGAGGCCATCAGTTTAGCCTGAGAGCTCCGTTTTCTCTGGAAAAATATGGTTTCCCCTCACTTCTGCTACTGATGAGTCATTATCTCACAGCAAACAAAGACATGAAATAGAGCTTTTAGCTAAGGACAAATCCCCAGCATTTATTGTGATTCCTGTGTGATTTTCCTTGCTCCCTTTTTGGGGGTTTGGTCCTACACTGGTTTTCTATGCAGACTTTGGAAGTCAGTAACTTCCACTCTCCTCCTTCAAGAACTCTTCTTTACTCCAGAGGATATACAAATACCTTTGACAAAATCTAGTTCTGAAATTGAAGCTTGATAAATTGCGGACCTGCTGTATGTTGCTACTTTAGATTCTCTCCCCTTAGTTCAGTTTTGTGGTCTCAAGTACTGAAACCCCAAGAGGTATGAAGCTGTTTAGATGGTGAGTGGCTAAACATGGGGAGAGGAAGTATTTCCATATTCTATTTTTTTACTTTAGCCAGAGATAAATTGTTTTATGTTTTTGTTATATTTGTGCACTAGATAATGTGTGATTAGATATTTGCAACAGCAACCTTGGGTGTCCATCTTACCATACTGTCCAAACTTTGCAGCCTTTGGAAAAGTGGCACATATCTATATTCTTTTCAGCATAAAAAAACCGATTTCTAACTTATCTTTTATACAATTGACAATCATGTTGACAGTGTCACGTATCTGATTGAACAGAGTTAATGACTTGGTTTTCTAATGGTAACCTACCTCCTCCCTGTGTGAAATACTCGACTCAATCCACATGAGACCTTCTCCACCCTGGCAGAGGAATCTCTGACACTGTTCAGGGGAGTCAGGCCAGGAGATGTCGCTGCAAAGCCACTCGGTCACCTGCTGTCCCTCCGAAGGGAAACACAGCACACCTGAAGTACTGGGGGCATGTTAAGGGTGACAATAGGAAGAAACTTTACTTGTTTTTCTAAAGTAACAGCAGAAAAGCTTGACTTCAAGTCTCATATGCCAGGGAGGAAGGATTGAAATGTGGTTCTGAAGAGTGTGATTATTTTTGTAAGCGGGTCAGACATGAACAATGCCAAAAGTTGAGCAAGTTGGGATGCAAAGTTTGCAGTCTTGCATTACTTCTGCAATTAAAAAACCAAACAAAAAACCAAACAAAAAACACCAAAGAGACGATCCTTTGCATATACTGCTGTCATGATTTGACAGACAACTGCCCAAAATGACAAAGGGAATTACTTCATAGCTTCCTGTACTGGGGGAGATGTGCTGCAGCAGCCAAAATGCAATAAGCCCTGAACAGTAAACAGCTGTGAAGCGAAACAGGAAGGAAAGGGATTTACCTAAACAGACATAATAGTTTCTATTTCTAATGGAGGAAATACCACTGGTAATGAATGTTTCCTCTCCTACAAACATTTCTGGGAAAATGAAAATAAAAGGTAAAAATAATTAAAAAGTACACAGAATCGGTAGACAGACCAATATTTCCAGAGGTTGATGTGTTTTCAGGAATTGTGTCTATATGTAAACCTCGAGGCCTTACTGATTCTCATGTTCTTTTTGGACATTTATTGTTTATTCCAGCTGCAAGGGGGTTCAGGTATCAACCACCTAGTACCTAAGTACCTAAGAAAGGTGGCAGAACTCTTGTCTCCTAATAACTTTCTGGTGCCTGTGCTATTATTGCATTCATTTTTTCTGCAATGCAACTAAAATCACAGTGGGATGCAGATGATGTGTTTTAATACATGTTGCATCATTAGAAATGTTTCATTTAACATCTATTGCTGTATTAGTCTATAGCAGTGATGCAGTTAATGAAGAAACAAAAAACAATGTTTTTTACTAGGTGTTGTAGAAGTTCCTGGTTTTGTCTGTATCTACAGTAAATGTGTGGGCTCATAGGGAAACTTCCATTTTAAACTTTTTTAATAGTGCCAATGTTAAAGAAAAGATTAATAAAAAGGTATAACAAACATATGGCAAAATGGTTCTGTATCATAAATAACAGATTTAGGAAGTCCTGAAGAGGAAGAAATGGCTTGTCTTTCCTACAACAACCTGGGTTTCTGGTCTCATGCAGGTTGCAGATGATGATGATGTGGAATACAAACTCACATGGAACTAAATAGATAATTCTCTGAACAGTTTCCCAGGTGAAGAATCTCTAAAAAATTCTATAATATTACAAAAGTCATGCAGAATTCTCACCAGGTACAAGTCAGGCAGTCACTTTAATCCAGCACACAAACAAAAGAACAAGCACATTGGTTCACAAGGTGATGATATTTCAAACTGACCCATACCCATGCCATCAGCTACTTTATAAAACTTTATATTCTAAGACTTTATACAATAGTGGCTCTGCCACAGAACGGTTTTCAGAATGTTAAATTATCCTTTGAGTGAGACAGGAAAAATAACCCACTCTGTTTTTTTAAATCACCTCTAGTTTTTAAACTCTCTAGAAATTTGTCAGATTTTCAACTTTCCAGTTACCCTCATATAATGTTGATTGGTTGTGCAGTGTTTTGAGTCACCTTCAACATCAGAAACTTTACAGGAAATCATCCAAAACTAGATACAGCTCTTGTTTTGGTACCTTGCCATGCTAATGTTCTACCTAAGCCCTTTATTATTTACTGGAAAATAACAAGTCTACTTTATGAGGCTGAGTGTTCACAGAATTACAGAATGGCTTGAGTTGAAAGGGACGTTAAAGATCATTCAGTTCCAAACCCCTGTGTTCATCAGGGTTCAGCTGTCTCTGATGGTTGGTTCTGATTAGCTCTTCATGCTATAATAAATAGCTGTAGCTTTATTGCTATGGCAATTTCAGTATAATAATATATGCTATATTGAGAGAAAAGCTCACCTCTCCTTTCTTATTTGTTCAGGCTTTGGGGGGTTGTTGCAATTGCCAGGCTCCTTCTTTCTTTGGGAGGGCTTTGCTCCTCCTATCACCTGTACTGAGGCCACAAGAACTACTCTGTTGATTTGGCCCTTATGCTTTCCTTTGTCCCATTCCCAAGTTTACCCAAGTCTGTTTTTTTTTCCAGACAGACATTAGTTCTGCTACTATCCCCATGCTCTTCTTGAACCACTAATTTCCCTGTGGGTAAGGATGCAAATCTTTAATTCAGCCCAGAGTAAAGAAGAACCTATTTTCTATGTTGTATGGAGAATGATGCAGTATTTTTCCCTATAGCACAGCAAAATCTTGATTAGACATTTTGATTTATCAAACTTTAAAACACATATAGCATCTGTGTGTGTGAATTACTGACATACAGGTCAATCAACCTAAATGGCAAAACAGAAAAAGCACCACTGACCATGGAAAAAAAAAAAGAAAGCACCAAACCAACCTGGTTCTTTGTTGTAGCATTGGCACATCAGCCAATCTTTGCTGATTATCTTTCTGTTCCATGGTTCCAACAGCTTTGCTGGAGGAGCACTGTGCAGCTGGGATTCTTGGGACTCCAGCAGTCCCTGAACTCTGCAGTGGGAGATGGTGTGTAAAGCACTCCCTGGCTTCTAGTTCAACCTGTTAAATGGAGAGATGTAAACTGAAGACTTGCATCCTTATATTAAAAATATTTTTAATTCAAACACTTGTAATCATAACAACAAATTTATTATTTTATAAAACAACGACAGGTAGGGTTTTTTAAGGCTATACCTTAAATATTATAATTCTTATCCTCTCCTCCTGCCACTGGCAAAAACAGAGATACAAGCAAGCCTTTTTTATACAGACTTTCCCCTAAAACCTCAGCTGGTTCTTCCAGAAAATGTATTGATGTATTTTTAATTTATGTGTCCTCACTGACTCCAGAATGGTCTGATTGACAGTGGCCTTTAGAAAGAGCTGATGTGCCAAGCCATATCAGGAGAGATGTATCCAGTTACTCACCAGTTACTGCTCAGATGAAATTATATTCTTACAATGAACAAAGCTGGTATTATAAATAAATGCAAATAATTACAGAAGAATCACAGAAATTAGTTTTAGTTAAAATAGGATTTTTGACAGTTATTTGTACCTAATAATTCTGGGTTGTATAGAAATGAAAAGGAACTGGCAAGAGTGGAAGTATTTAAGAACTTTCTTAGTGAAAGATAATTATGGAGATTTGTCTAATAAACCTTTGTTTTTCTGCTAAATT